TCAAACAGGTGTTCAAGGAGCTGGAGTTCCTGGGCTGGTACACAACGGGGGGGCCTCCAGAACCCGCTGATATCAGCGTGCACAAACAGGTGGGGGGCTGGCGGGGGGGGCAAATATTGGGCTATGAGGGGGAGGGGGGGGGCAGATGTTGCTCTATGGGGCTAATCTGGGGAGGGGTCACTGCCCCACATTGCTCCCCCCCTTAAATTTTGCTCCTTCCCCCCCCCCAGGTGTGTGAGATCATCGAGAGCCCCCTGTTCCTTAAGCTGAACCCCATGACGAAGCACACCGACGTGAGTTTTGGGGTCGGGCACAATGGGATCCCCATCATAATGAGGAGCCCCCCCGTATTGAAGACCCCCCTGATGTTGAAACACCCCCAAATCTTCTTGCTCCCCCCACAGCTGCCAGTCAGCGTGTTTGAGTCGGTGATTGACATCATTAACGGGGAGGTAAGGGGGGGTTATGGGGTGGGGGGGGATTGTAGGGTTTTAATGGGGATGGGGGAGCCATGGAGGTTTGTAGGGTGTTAATAGGGCTACGGGGGGCTGGGTTTACGGGGTGTTAATGGGGCTGGAGTGGCACAGTGGGTCTGTAGGACGTTATTGGGGTAATGGGGGGGCACGCGGGTCCATAGGGCGTTATTGGGGGGGCTGGAGGGGGGTCTGGTTGGGGGTATGGGGTCCTGAAGGGGAGGGAGTGGAGCTGTGGGGTGTTAATGGGGGGCACGGGGGGCTATGGGGTTTTACTGGGGGGGGGTGTGAATCCAGAGTGATGCATGGGGTGCAGTGGGGGGCGGGGGTTACCAGGGGGGTTGTGGGGGTCCTGAATGTAGGGGGGGGGGGGGGGGTCCTCACCCCATGCCTCCCCCCAGGCCACGATGCTGTTTGCGGAGCTGCCCTACACTTTGGCCACGGAGGAGGCAGAGCGGATCGGGGTGGATCACGTGGCCAGGATGACGGCAACCGGGAGCGGGGAGAACTCAACCGGTGGGGGGGGGCGGCAACGGGGGGTGGGGGGCAACCGGGGGGGTGTGGGGCGGGGGCTCAGAGGGTGAAAGGGGTGCTGGAAGGGTGTGGGGGGCGACTTCGGGGGGCTAAAGGGGGTCTGGGGGGGGTATTGTGCTCCTGGGGGGGGTCTGGGAGGGTCTGGGGGGGTCTGGGGTTCTAGAGGGGGGTTGTGGAGCAGTGGGGGGGGATGTGGGGCGGTTTGGGGGGGGATGTGACGGGGTTTTGGTGACTCGGTGGCGCCCCCCAGTGGCCGAGCATTTGATCGCCCAGCACAGCGCCATCAAAATGCTGCACAGCCGCGTGCGCCTCATCCTGGAGTACGTGAGGGCGGCCGAGAGCGGTGAGTGGGGGGGAGGCTGGGGGGGGGCGACCACGGGGGTCTCTGCCCCTTCCACAGGATGCGCGGTGACCCCACAGGGGGTCCCTATGGGGGATGGAAGCAGTTACCCCCCGGGAAACCCCACAGCCCCCGTGGATGGGGGTCCTCATAGAGGGGGGGGTCCTCACAGAAGGGG